GAGGGGGCAAGGCCTGGCGAATGCACTCCGCCGGGCCGGGAGCAGCTCAACGTTGTCTTGGAGTATAGGCAAGGAGGTCACGTCAGTGGCCTGAGGAGGCTCAAAGCCGGCATCGCTGAGTTGGGCCCTGGCCTCATCGGGGAGATCCACCCACACCTTCCGAAGGGACTTGAGGATGCGGGTGTTCCGCTTAGAGCGGTCGTCCTGGGCCTTCGTGGGGCGAGGGTGGTCATCTCTTCAGGAGAAGAATCCCCAACCTCAGCCTCCTCATCGAAGGTGACCTGCCTGCGGGAGCGAGGAGCACGCCGGCGAGGGTTCCGGGAAGGTGACTGGGTCGGTGTGGAGGAACCACTACCTTGGCCGGGGGGTTTCGGGAACCGTGCCTGGCAGGCCGGACAAGCTCGTCGACCCAAACGGCAGCGCTTGCACACGTGGTAGGCACGTTGCGGCAGACCTCGTCCAAAGAGGAGAGGAAACCTCAGCCCTAGGCGAGGCCCGGCCGCACACAAAAGCACAAGCCTCAAGCCGAACCGGGAGCAACTGTGCAAGCCCACAGTCGGCGAGGGAGTGCGCGCGGCACAGAAGTGACCTGGCCTTGCTCAGGCGGACGCGCCGTGGCACAGTTCGTGCACTTCACAGCCTACCGGGCCGCCCACCAAACCCTTGCCAGCTGTCTGGCCTACGACCTCTACCAGGTTGGGTTTGGGGACTCTTTGAAGCCTCTAAACAAAGTGGGTCTCAAGGCTAGGCCACGACGGCACTGCAACGTCTGAGCCGAAAACTTGAGCCAAAATGGCTTGAGCCAAAATGGCTACGGAGCAAACTTTTCTTTCCGAGCGGACTGCGACTGCCGCGGCCAGTGGCCGGTACACTAACGACTAACACTGTACAGATCAACAGCTAACTACGCACATCCGCAACGCAAGCGGGGACTGCACCACTACGGAAAGCACCACACGCCCACCCAAGGTAGACATGTGGAGCTGTTGCACAGAGTGAAGTCCGTAGAAGCCGGACCGTGCACCAGCCCAACCAAGGGGAAAAAACCAGCTGACACAACAGAGGCCAGGAAGTGCAGAAATGGGGCGCCAATGAGAGCCACAAATTCAACGGGCATGCAGGCAAGTCGAAACGCCTCCGTCCAGCACAGCAGCAAACGCCTTCAAGGTAAGCGGTTTGCAAGAGCACCCACCAAAGAGTTCAAGCAAAACCACTCCACGTTGCCAATACTGCCAGCATCCAAAAGCAGCTAAAGTACACGGAAACTACAAGCCAACGAAGACTACCGCCGACTGTACACAGTGCAGCAGGTGGTTGTATGAACACGCAAGTGTTCACACCACCAACCTGCCAAGCTGGCAAGCAGAAGGCTGGAGCAGTGCGTGGTCCAAAAAAAGCCACACAGGCACAGGCAACAATTGCCAGAGATGCAAGAGGGCCTTACAAGGCCAGCCGCAAGGTAGTAAAAGGTTCTAAAAAGTGCACATATTCATCAAACCGCTGCTGTTGCACAATGCAGCTCACCGATGGAGCGCAAAGCAGATAGCACAGAGTCCTGCAGTGCCACAGGACGGCAGTCCAAGAGTGGAGTGCACATATTCACCAACAGTGTGCTGCGAAGGCTGCTCAACACGGAGCGCCAGAACTGCAAACTACTGGGAAAGGCCTAAGAAACCCAAGAGAGGGACGGGTGCAGCAGCAAGCGCACACCGAGCAGCTTAATTTTCGGCAAGGAGAAACCCCTAACCCTGAAGAATTTTTGCCATGCTTGTCAGGTGCAGCACACAGCGCACACCGACACCCAGGCAATTCAGTCACTTTGCAAAGGACAAAAGTTTTTGCTTAGGGTTAGGGGGCCTGGACTTAGGCAAGGACTTACCAGCAGCAGGTTTGGCTTTTGGTGCAACACTGGCAGCACCTGCAGGACCTAAACCTGGCAAACCTGCTTGGGAGTCCGACGCACCGGACTGTTTTTTGAAGGTTTCCTCAAGGGACAGGCTTTGCTTGGCCTCAACCTTAGCACGGGTGTGGGTCATTCGACAAGAAGGTTTCCTTGCCAGTCCTAGACAAGGGCTTTGCAAAACCTTAGTAGATGCCTTTGCAGCAATTTTAACAACGGCCAAGCACTTAGAACAAGCAAAAAGAGCGCCTTTGTTGACCATAGCGTGAGAGCAATGAATGTCCCAGCAATTTTGCAAAGGAGCCTCTATGTCCTGGCAGGGATGCTGGTACTTGCGGGTAAAAACCTCCTGGCTGTGACACTGTTCGATGTAAAGCTGACAGCGCTGGCACTGAACTGCAAAGTTGTTGACTGCTTTAGACGGAGAAGAAACCCACAAGTGACCCAACCTAGTGGGCTCATTGACCAACTGTTGGAGCAGTTGCCTTTTGTTAAGCTTGGCAGGGGCAGAAGCTTGTTTGTTGAAACACTGCCCAGACCTAACCAAGCGCTGCTTTGGCTCCTTTGCATCAGGCTCCTTGTCCTCACGCTTAAGGACCCAAGGAAAAGACGGAGACGACAGGTTGTGAAGGATATGTCCTGCTTTCCTGGCAAGATGGAGACAAACATCTTCACACAACCTGTCAATAGGTCCCACATCCGGCTTAAAGGCTCCGGAAAAAGCCACTGCTGATCTGGCCCCACAGAGTTGATCAACGTCAGAGTTGAGGAGCCTCCTCCATTCACTGAGGTCTCTGTTGGCATAATAAGCCTCGTCTTTATGAGACGGGACCCACACTGCTAAAGCCCGTGTTTTTTCTTGCCATACACAGCCCCATGGGATTGGCCCCTCTTTTGGCGGAGAGGAGCGCGCCAGAATTTGTACAGCACCCTGACAGTCCACTGTCACGTCAAAATTACCTTCAGTCCTTGAGAAAAGCTCGTAAAGAGCCCGTTGCTCACCATGCTTGACAGACAAGGGCTCTTTGGGCAGGCATGTGACACTAGCCACACGCTCCGGGACTCCATCATGAAGACGGTAGGCCGCAATGGCCCACGAGACACACAAAGCTCTTGAATCTTTTGCCCCGGGACCCCCTGAGGCATCACTGGCAAAAACATACTGATCACCTGGAAGGGCCTGCTGTTGACACCACAGCCCCTCAACAAGAAAACCAGTCTCAGCCCTATCGTACTTCAAGCGGGTGGCCTCACTGGGCACAAGCCCTCGAAGCCACAAACTCGGCCACGGGTAAAGCTCTCTGGCCTTGGCAAATTGGGGCGGCTCCGGAAATGTGGACTTGATGAAAGGACACTGCCAAAGCACATGATTCAAGTCAAGAGCACAATTGCAAAGCTTGCAAAAACCTGGCTTGGACTCACTGATCAGGGCCCCTTGCCATACTGTCTGCAAATGCACATGTGTCTGCTTATTAAAAAACCGACGCTTCATGAGCCGCCTAGGCACTTTAGCATCAATGCCATGCACAAGCTGAGAACAACCAGCTAACAAGGATGTGCGGGTATTACGGGTTTGCTCCCAGATCGGGTAGAGCCACTGCCAAACCTTCCTACATGCATCAAGACAATCCCATTGGATATGAAAGGCATCAGAACCATGTTGCCAAGAGGACGGAATGGGGGCAACGACACCTAATTCAAGGAGGTAAGCCAAAGTGGCGGACAAGGGGCCCGTAACCCTCTTCCAAGGATGTGGAGCCTCGGTAAGTCTACGCCACAAGCAAACCCACGTACTACTAAACTTAGCAGGGTCCGAAACCTGCCATCTGTAGAAAACACGGGCTATCGCACGAAAGTGTTGTCGCAAAATGGTAAGGTGAGGATCCTCACATTTGTGGCTCATAAGCTGAAAGGTGACGTCAAGGGAACCCAACTTTGGCCTGCCAATGGCCTTGGCACAAAGGGTCCTGTACCACTTACGGCGCTTGGGACTTACACCGATTGCTTGATGACCCCATAGGCCCGCTGCACACAGCGAAGCACGGATGATGCGGATCTTATGCGTTCTGCTAAGGAAAACCGTTACCCTAAACCAAATCCTAAACCCTAAACCCGAGAACGGAAAATGAATGCAATCCGAGCTCGGTCCACTCATTTTCGATGGGATCACAAAGATCGGCTGTGCAAGCATACAAACGGGTTGACCCGAGGATGCCTTCTGTGGGGTGGCGACTGTTGCACCACCCCACGGACAAAAGAACTACGAGTGAAGCTACAACACTTGAGTGACAGCTTCGGACTAAGGGAGCGACCAGAAGGGTCCTCCGGGACTGAGCAGTCCACGCTAGAGCAGCGGCTACAAGCAAGAGGTGACCTGCAGACTACGGCGGTGAAACGCATTGGGGCCAATGGCGGGCCCAGCAGGGAGCACCGAACGACATGGTGCGGCAGCTGCGCGCTGCCGTGTGCAGCATTAGAAGAAGCAATGGTAATGTGAAGGCAGCAGCCTGCGCAAGCACATTGCCCGTGGCAGGATGCCAGAGGCAAAGCACAAAGTGTGAGTGAAGGTGCAAGGAAGGATAGCACGTTCGGTAAAGGCCGGGCCTAGCCGAGGCCGGCGTGCACGCAAGCGAAACCAGGGCGGGTCGGGTGGGAAATCAAAATTGCGAAGCGACTTCGCTGCAACTTGATCCAAAGCGGAGTGCGGATGCACAGAGCTTCCACGACATGTACTGAGGCAAGAAGATGCAGGCACTGGCAAAAGCGGATAAAGGAAAACTTTCCAGTTTTACCAAAAGAAAGGAAACCGTTTTTCCATTTGCAAAACATCAGTGGACAAGTCCACCAGTACGTTCTGCTAAGGAAAACCGTTACCCTAAACCAAATCCTAAACCCTAAACCCGAGAACGGAAAATGAATGCAATCCGAGCTCGGTCCACTCATTTTCGATGGGATCACAAAGATCGGCTGTGCAAGCATACAAACGGGTTGACCCGAGGATGCCTTCTGTGGGGTGGCGACTGTTGCACCAAGGTAATTTGCCACCCCACAGCACGCTCAAGAAAGCCAAGGAAGTGTGGGCTGAAGGGGGTGGCAGATTTCAGCGAAGCCAAGGCAGGGTGAAGCTGGAAGGGAAAATCTGCACCTCAGGACCAGGCTCCCAGAGAGCAGAGAGCCCAAAGCGTATGCGCTGGCACGGAAGGCAATCTGGAGGTGTGGGGTACTCAGCCGGCCGGCTAAGTGCGTCGGCTTTGCAGTTCTTGGCACCTGGGACATGAGACACATCGATAGAGATGCGATGCATGGCCGCCAGGAGGGCGATGTGTTCAAGAACGAGGCCTAGGGGAAACTTTGTGGAAAACATCTTATTCAGACCTGCCTCCGCCCCTGAGTTATCGCAGAGGGACGGGAGGCGTAAAGGAACTCTGCTGCAAGGAGCCAGCCTAGAGAGAGCAAGAATCAGCCCCGCTTGAGCCAGGGCTTCACAACTGGCTATCTCCTTAGCCAGGTCATTGCCGAAAGGAATGCCTGCGGCTTCAAATTCCTGGACTGAAAAGGTTTCTGTGAACCAAACCTGGCCTAGAACCGGACAAGAAACAAAACCCCCCAAACTGCAAGATGGGCCGGACGCCGATGCATCGGCAAAGGCTTCAACGTCTGCAACCTGAGACGGGCGCATGCTGGCAAGTGGTGCAACGTGTTGCAACCAACGCTCGAAGGCCTGCAACGAGCGGATGGAGGCACTTGAAAGTTTCCTCCTCGAGCTGCTAAGGCATTCAACGCGGAGCCACAATCTTTTGTGCGTCACGGCGACTTTGGACAAGTCTGCCAGGGTTGCGAAAGGCACATGACGAGCCGAGAGGAGCTTAGCACCCGCGGGGATGGCAGTGTGAGGAGGTGAGGCCTTAAACCTGAGTGAAGAATCAAGAAAATTACAGATGCTATGCCACGATTCCGGAGCAATGCTGAAATTAGTAGCAGCCGGAGACCACAGGTCTTTGTAGAAAGGGTGCAGCATGGCACGCATAGTGGGGAAGAGTGCACAGGCCCACATGGCAAGGCCCAGAAAGGATTCCAGTTCCTTGGTAGAGATACGGCCCCCGCCCCTCAGAAGGGAACGCACTTGTTCAAGGAGGCGCAAGCGTTTTTCTTCCCTGAGACTAACCGTACCCGAAGAGAAGCACAACCGCCATCCAATCCAATCGACCCGACAAGAAATTTGTAATTTTTTCCAACTGACTGGAACACCCAGGATCTGAAGAAAGAGGCATATCACAGCTCCCGAAAGCGGCATGAGGCTGGCCGCTTGGCTGAAAATGAAGTCGTCCACGAAAAGGAGGCCCACATGGGCCAGGAACAGCAGGGTATGTAACAGGCGCAAAGTGCACCCTCCCACGCGACCCCACCAATGCTGTGAGAAAACTGCTCCGAATGGGCAGCAGCGAAAGAAGTATAGCGCGTTGTGCCAAGTGAAGCCGAGCAGGCCCTGCTCGGAGTCGTGGATGCGGCAGCGCTTGTGCGCCTGCTTGACATCAATGCAAATGGCCATCTGGCGGTCGGAAGTCTCGCGAATCGGGAAAGAATGCGAAACATCGTGTATGCTCGGGAAACATTGACGTTCCGGCACTGTGCACTGAGAATTGGTCCCAGCTACGCTGTTGTCCAACACGAGTCGTTCGGCCCTCCCCGGTGCCCTAACAACCCCCAATTTTCCCAGTGCTAGGCCAACGGGCCATCTACTTTTCGCCTCCTCAAGCGTGCCCTCAAACTTAAAGCAGTATCCCGCGTCCAACTCCTCTTGGAGCAAGCGCGAAGTGACCTCAGGAGCCACATCGGCCGACTTCCAGTTTTCAAGATTGAGCGCCAATGGAATCAGCTCCCCTGATTGGCCTTTGGGAGGCCAGAAACAGTTGGAAGGGGGGATGTCATTCAAGTACCCGGTTGGCACACCCATACGCAAATGCGGAAACAAGTGAATGTCCTGATCGCCACAATGTTGTGCCAGGGCTTCAAACGCGTGCAAGCACATGGGTTGGTATGGATGCACATACCAAGCGTTATCCGGGGTCTGCATACCCAGCGAAGGAAACACCAGATCCCTGGCTGCGGACACTTCGGAAGAGCTGAAAAGCGGTTCATTCGACGGGCAGGAACCGCGAGCAAGCAAGCGTTTGTCGGCTCGAGCTGAGATGCAGAATTGCAGCAGGGCTTTGCGTAAGCCCCGAAATGCATCATGGCTTGCAGGGCTGCTCCAATCGGCAATGGAGCGTTTTCCAGCTCCATCATGAAGTGCATGTGGGCCTGCGAAAAGGCCTTTGCGTGGGATAGACGTGATGACTGACTGCAGGGAGAGCTCGCGGCCCTCTGCCGGGAGCAGAGGGGCAGCGATCGTGGCAAACGAAGATGCAAATTCACTTGCGCATTGCGGGGGAGCGAAGGCGGGTGAGCTGACCGCCAGGGCGGAAAGCGGGCGGTAAGAAGCAGCCAAAAGCTGGGGCTGGCACGGAACAGCTGAGTCTGAGTACAGTAATGGGGGTATCAAGATCAGAGCACAGTTTCCCTGATGCAGCCAGGCCTGGGGCCGCTCAGACGACCAGTAAGAAGAAGTGGGGGGCAACTCCAAATGCCCTTGACCCCCTGCAGTGTGTACAATGCTGAGGAGCCAGGTGCAACGGGAAACCTTGGCCGCCGCCGTTTGCTCGTGCATTGCCGACAGCAGCCACGAGGGGGAACCCACGTCGTCTGGCGAGTCTGCTGACTCGGCTAGTGGCGATGCTGCAAGATACGCGACCGCTCCCGAGCCGCAAAGGAAGAGGACCTGCTCGAGGAGGTCTGGGCAAAGGACATCCAGGGTCGGGTCAAGGCAGGGGCTTAGGGTGAGGGAGTTTCCACCTGAAGCACGAACAGCCATGCTAAGCTGATGGCGCGAGTGATTGCTCCATGTGATCTCGAGAAAAAGACGCGCCGGGAGGGAAGAAATGCAAGTATCAGCTCGCCAAGCGCCCTCCGGTGGTGACAAGGGGCGTGCAACCCTAAGCTTGTGGGAGAGAAACAAACCTGACGTGGAGCGTTTTCCCCACAGTTTGCATCCCAGTGGCAGCTTAGACGATGCCGGATTGGAATGGACTGTATGTTCCCTGCACGACTGAGGCTCGTGCTGCTTAGTAGTCGAGACGGCCTCCGGTACTCCGGGCATTGGATGTGCTGAAGGGAGATGTTGCGCAGGAGGGACATCTGCGGACGCATCGGAGGCTGACCCAGGGTTGCCACTGGATGGAAACTCCTCCTGAATGTGCGTCCCTGCTAGTAAGTGCGATGAAGTGATGTCTGCTTCCTCGAGCCCCGCGGGCGAGGTGCGGGAGGTTGAGGGATTAGGGGCAGGACTAGAACCCAAGAGGGGAGACGGGGAGGCAGTGATAGCTGCCGACATCCCTGCTCGGATCTCAGGACCCCCTCTCAAGCTGCTCGGCGGGATCTTGGGTTTTTCTGTAAAAACCGACAATTCCGCCGGAGGCGGCAGTGGGAAACCCAGAAACTCAAGTTCGGCACAACACACGTCAGGCAGGGAAAAGGCTGTGAGGGCCCAACGCTCTCCTGAGAAAGGAAGTGTCATGTGTCTAATGAGTCTAATGCGGCCATCGAAGCTAATGGCTTTGCGATGTGTGTCGATAGCACAGCCATGCAGCCAGCCCGAGCCAGATGCAACTGATGTCGGCTGGCCTTGCGAGAGGCAGGAGAGGTCCTCAATTCACAGATGGCCACCCGAGAAGGCGCCCAGCGAGAGTGACAAATTGCGTGAGCCAGGAATGTTCGCTGAATCGGAATGCAGTGCACTGAGGCCATTGCGCGAGACACACAAAGCGTTCCAGTTCTCGTTTGGAAAGAGGAACCTGAAGAGGGCATTCAGGTCCCTGCAAAGCTCAGGCAGGGCGATGGTGACCTGAGTAAGTGAAGAGCGCCTAGAAAGCTGAACCCCGAAATTAAAATAGCCTGAAGCAGAAGAGGCACCGGAAATGATGTGAGCACGGCGAACCTGTTGGGGCCAAGGGGCTTCCCGCAGTGAGCACAAAATGCAATCGAAAAGGCCTGCCAAGGCCGGCCCACAGAAATTGGAAAATTCAAGTGTGCGACCCAAAGGGGCGGTACCGCTGGCGGGCGGAATCGGCGCAATGGGAGTGCTTGAAGTGCATGTGGAGGGGGCAACGTCCCCCGAAGGCACTGAACCAGTATGATGCACGGAGGGTACGGCCTCCTGAGGCGGTGACACAGAAACTGTACTATCGGCAGAGAGGGGTTGTGGCGGCAGTGGCGGAAAGCTGAAGTCCAAAACTTGCGAGCCCCGGGGGGCTTGCTGTTGCGATGGTGGAATCGGCGGTGGCAGTGGCGGGGGAGCAGGCAGCTCCCCCCAGGTGTGGATGGACCCGGCAGCACCTTTGGGTGGCGAGTCGGGCGCATGATGTCACTTCTCAGGGTGCTGGGGCGCACCGTGGTCCTTGCTAAGGCAGGGTGAACCATCGGGCTTAGGGAAAGCGCAGCCGTGCGTGAACTCGCAGGAATTGCCACGCTGGCATTTCCCGATCTGCCACCCAATGCACAATTTTTTCACCTGGCCGCCCTCCTTGTACTCGCGAACCCATGGAACGCCCCTAGGCTGGGTGCCTTGCTTGGTGGGGCTCTTGGCTTTCCCCTTGCCCTTGCCAGTGCCACGACCTGGCGGTGGGGTGGGCGGGCGGTTGTCACGGCCGCCCGGTGTATACGGCCTACGATTGCCTGCAGAGGCAGCTTTGGCGCGGGGCTGCAGCCATGACGACATATCGCCGCGGATCTCCGTGAACTCGTAGATCGCATCATTCACCTGCCACTCTTTCTCGATCACAAGCTGAAAGATGCACGACCACAAGTGTTTGTCCGCCTGCTGAGCTTCCAGCACAGAGGGGGGCCGAAGGTTTGTCTCAGGTGGGAATTTTTGCGAAACCAGGCTCAAAAACTTAGAGGTGTAAGCTTTGAGGCGCGCAAGATGCGCGGTGCCTGCAAGAGCGAGGGCATTGTCATGCACCTCCAACAGCCTACGGATCATTGAAATCCCCATGGTGGAATCATTGATATCAATCTGTGGCGGTTCATCAAGCAACAGGTCCGAAAGCTGAAGGGTCTCAATCCTGGCCCTTTTTGCGGGCTTCTGCATGAGGGAATCCTCATACATCTGTTGTGTCATGCGACTCTTCCACGGGATCCAAGACCAGTTCTTCTTGACCTCGGCGTCGACAGCAGTGCTCAAGAGGCGGAGCGAGGGGGTATTCATAGCCGTCAAGATTTCGGATGGGAAGGCTTCCAAGAAACGCTTTTTGAGCGTGGCCACCCGCGATGCATCAAGCTTGGGGGCGAATGCTTCCGACCATCCCGAGCCTTGCTTGGCCGGGGATCCCAGCGGTTCTGCAGGAGCAGGCTCGTTACTACCGCGTCGCTGCAGCGACGACCATACGGCTCGCAGCTTGGCACGCTGCATCAAGGACACTTCAGTGTCCGGGAACATCTCGGGGAGGACCCCCGCAAGCTCCGATTCCTGGCAGACAACATGGCGAAAAGATTTCGCATCCCAACCGTCGGCGAGCAGCCGATCCGTGAGCTCCTGACTGATGCCGTGATCCTGAAGGAGCTGATGGAAGCGTGAGGCTCCCTCTGCTTTAAGCTGGCACGGTGAAGGATTCACCAGATTGAATGATCCATCCGCGGATTTAGCATCGAACAATTCATCAGCCATGGTGCGAGAGCAGCGGTCGGCAAAACTACCATTCGGGCCTGAAGCGGCTGATCGAGGGCAGACCCGTGTCCTGGCAGGCTCAATGCAAAGAAAATGGAATGCATGAAGAAAACATGTGCAAGCAGAATGCGAGCGCATACCGATAAAAGACAAAGGCAGCAACATGCACTTTTACTAAGCTTCCAGAGCAGCGAATGCATTGACACAGGCATTTCGCCTGCAGAGAACATGTTTGGCACTAAGAGAGTGGACCGACTGCCAACGTGGGCCCGACATACCGATGCCACAAAGTGTCCTCTCACCTGACGGGCATGCTGCGTGCACAACGCCTGTTGCGGCGACCATGTGCACCTCATCTGGGGGGCCGAGCGACGCGGGCCCTGCCTCGGACTCAAGACTTGACTCAGACCCAGCCTCCGATGCAGAGTCGGGCAAGGAGGGCTCGGCAGCCTTGGTGCTGGCCTCTGCAGCAGGTGTTTCCTTAGCACATGCCGAAGATTGACCGGGAACCCAGGGCAGCGAGCCAGGGACACCAACATCGAAGGAGAAGAAACCCCACGGTGCAGGATCGATCTCTTTGCTGAAGGCTTCCAAAGTAAAAGGGATCGGTGCCATAGGGAGCTGTGCTCCACGGTGCAATGGCGTCCTCGGGCGAAAATCCGCCAAGACAGCAGACCTCAATTGTGTCTGAGCGCGGAGCGCCCCTAGCACATCGTCTCTGCTGTAGAGTTCCCTGCTACTCCCCCTATGATGTCCTTGTGCGTCCCTGTCTGGGCCGCGGATGTCCGGCACCTCAAGCATATAACTTAAGAGGCTACACTTCATGGAGTGCACCGTATAGTTAGATACGGGCACCTCGGGTGGAGACACCATCCAAGGAAACTGCAAGTAATAGCGCAACCAGCGCAAGCATGAAGGGTAGCTCATCGGCTCAAGGGGCCGGAGCAACTCGGCGTCATCGTCCAGTGCCGGAAACAGAAAGCTAGGAGCCACCCCAAAGTCGCGCACCTCCTGCGAAGCGATGGAATCAAGAACCCGGAGCCACCTAGCCACCCAGGAATGTGTGCCATGATGCAAGAAGCCTTGAGTGATTAGGCCGAAGGGTTGGCCCTGATGCGAGGTTTTCGTCTGGTATGCAATGGCCCGAAGCGAAACCACGTCGAAAGCAAATGAGCTCCATTCGATGCGCTGGCTGTCAGCAAAGCGAAGACTCGCCCAACATGTGACAAGAAAAGCACCGAGCAGTACTATGTCCCGCACTGGGGTGGAGCGCTGGAGGATGCGCCGTTCCCACTGCACAAGAGCATACAGCGGCAGGGGTAGGCTCTCCCTGCGGTCCTTAGGCAATTTGGTCTTCAAGAAGGATGAAATCAGCTCGCCATAGAAAACCTCAAACACAATGCATTGGGTGTTCTTGCAAACCCACCGCACGGCCTTGATGCAAGTGATTGCCGACGATCCGACAGTCGGATCCTCCTGTCTTTGAAGCTGCAAAGTGACCAAGATGTCGGCCGCTTGCACTGCAGTAATCTCAAGAAGACACACATCCAAGTCCTCACAAGCTTTAGCAAAGGAGTTAAAGGTAGTGATGTACCTGATAACAGTCGTTGCGGCAAAACCTGCAAGTACACGGCGCACGTGTGCATCGAAGTGCACTGCTGATTGGATGGCGGAGAAAAAGCTAGATTCAGACCCCAAGAAGGCAAGAAGCTGCAGCATGAGGTTCACAGCAATCTGAGAGCAGGCCGCTGAGTGTGCACGAATGGCCTGCATCCCGCGACCATCCTGCTTGCTGGCGCGCGGGCGCTTGTTCGATACCGACACCACCATTCCTTGCGGATTGGGCAATGGAGGTGCAGCCTGAAGCTCAGGCAAGGCTTGAAACGGCGGCGCGAAAGGGGCTGCGCGGGCCGGCAGTGCCGGGGGCCTCAAATGCACGTGCCGATTCACAGGTGGGCAGGGAATGCCCGACTCGGGGAGGGGCGGTGCGGACCTAAACCGGAGATACCCGAAGGAGGGAGGGGGACTAGGCCTAGAGCCAACCCCAGGCAGTCTACGATCAGAATATGGGCCACCACGCGGCCCGCCCAAGCGAGACCTGTCATCAGGGTCAGTGGGCCTGGAGGACATCTCGCCAGCAAAGCCCCTTAATCCAAGGAATCCAGAAAGCTCGACCCGTCCGGGCAGCACGGCTCGTCAGTGCAGTCCGGTTCACCTTCAAGCCGAGTGATGCGCTGTTGCAAAATCAGAAACTGGTTCTGCAGCCTAAATTGATTCTCAAGCAGGAGGTCAGCACGCTCGTGCAGAGCAGTCAAAGCTTCAAGGGTGTCGTCCCTGAAAGATTGCAGTGCTTCGATGAAGTCAGATCTCGCACTATCGACGTCCTTTTTGGCTTCCACAGAAGCACCACGAACCAAGCTGAGCAGCGAGCACTCAAAGTACTGACGGAACTCTTCAAGCTCAGCACGGGACACCATACAAGAATGACAGATCACTCAAGAGGCAAGAGGTGCCTGCCATGCACCCCCCCTTGTAGGGGGCGATCGCACTACCCAGGCCACGAGGAGCTAGAAGCCTTGGAGTTAGCCCCCGGAGCCTGCTAGACAGCACTACAGGACTCTAGAGAGGCCCAAAATCAAAATTGCGAAGCGACTTCGCTGCAACTTGATCCAAAGCGGAGTGCGGATGCACAGAGCTTCCACGACATGTACTGAGGCAAGAAGATGCAGGCACTGGCAAAAGCGGATAAAGGAAAACTTTCCAGTTTTACCAAAAGGAAACCGTTTTTCCATTTGCAAAACATCAGTGGACAAGTCCACCAGTACGAGGGGTTGGTGAGGCCAAGCTTGTTGAGCTTAACCGCTCTGCCACGAGCTTTACTTCTGCACTGCTCTGCTAACCCCAGCAACCTCCTTCTAGCACCCCCAGAAGTAACCCCCAAATCCCTCGCAAAATTTCTCACCTGTGGATCCGACTCCTCTCTGATCTCAAGTAAACACTTTGCAGCCTGGGATGAAGAGGCAACAAAGGAGGTCTTTTCTAAGGAAAGTGTAGCACCCCGGGCTTCAAGGTCATTGCGCAAACTACGGCGTCTCCATGTCCATGAAAATAGTTATGAGGTGTTGCCCAGATTGTCTGGAGGCCTCCCCCCGGAGCAGCCTCGAAAGCGCAACGTCTAAAACCTGACTGCCCGGCATGGTCTAATCCCACACCGCAACTCTGCAGTATTGGCCTTGCCAATCTGCCACAAGCTTCCATCTCAATCGCACCCAAGCACGATAAAGAACATGTAAAAGTGCTATGGGTCTTTCCCGTTTGTCACTTTTCGGAAGTAAAGCAATCAGGGCAAGGCAAAAACCATTTGGTCAGGCCAACTGGCCTCCAGCTCGCAATGATGGAGGAAAGCAACAATAGCTTCAACAGCAGGACGCTCCAGGTTTTGCAAAATCTCGCATGTCCATCCATCCAGGCCCGGTGCTTTGGTGGGAACCTTTTTGAAGGCCGCGACAGCCTGCTCAATGGGAATTGGCCCAAGTTCCCGCGCCTGCAACATAGCACGATGCTTGAGCTCATTGAAAAGTGCCTGGTCAACACCTTTGGGATCGGACCACAATTCAAACCACTGCCTCCACCGGAGATAAATGCGATCCTGGACGGGTTGTGCCAAGAAGGGCCTGAGATGAACAGCTTCCTCAGACTTAACACTGCGAAACAAACCCCTCAAACCTTTCAGCGAAGCCTGCCTCAACCACTTAAAGTAACCTGCGCTCTGCTGTTGCATCCAAGCCTTAGAGTGCAAGCGAAACTGTTCACTGGCAGCCTTGAAAAGAACAGCGAAAACATCCGGATCAGCACCTCGGCCAAAATTTTAAAAAAGGGCTTGCACCTCAGCTAGCTGCTTCGTCTGGCCATGCCACATAGAGCACAGCTGGGACTGCAGCTTGGAGCACAAGGGAAGTTGACACTTATGCTGTTTGGAACACTCAAGCCAGGCTAAAATCCGCTTCCAAAATGCAGCCTGCGCTCCACCCACACCCCAGCTGGGGCCGAATGGCACATCAAGGCCCCCCTACCTTGAGCAACTCCGAAGACCGAAAGCTCAACAGAGCCACTGAGTTTCTCGAACTGCTGAGTGAGGTTTCAACCAAGTTGCCAGTAAGAAACCTAACGCTTTCAGGGTGTGCTAACCCGAGCCCACAGTCAACCTCCGAGGCAACCGAAAGCAAAGGCCCTCACAAAGGCCTCTTCCACACCCCAGCCTAAAGGCTCTCCAGAAAATCCTTTCCAGGCTCAAAATTGCACAAGCCTGGGGAATGCCCCGAAGCCAAGCCTAAGCCAAAATCTGGTCTACTGGGGAGGCCATTTTCGTTTCGTGGGCCCAGAAACGGGTCGTCCGCAGCATCATTTCTTGGGCTCATCCTGCTTCTATATCCACCGAGGTATCTCGAGGATCTTTTTAAGCCAATCGAGATCTTTGACGTTTATTAGGATACATCGCTGCGACACGATCATCGAAGCTCCTGTCTAGGATTGCCAAGATCTATGGCTCTATGGAGTCAGCAATAGCCAATAGCTTGCAAGATCATCGAAGCTTGTTGAAGCCTTTTCTAACTCCAGCAAGTGGACTTGGAGCCAGCTCCGGCTTATAATTCTCTGTAGTAAAGAAAGAAGAAAGGCAGCCCACGTGCTCGTTCAGGTCCGAGGCTTCTGGTGACCCCTTTAATACATCCGGGCCACAAACGTGTGGCTTTGAAGCCACATAAGCCACAAACGTGTGGTTTTGAAGCCACATCAAGGCCACTTAACGTCTGGTTCTCAAGCCACATCAACGTGTGGTTTTGAGGCCACATCATCTGAGCGGTCACAAGGTCCCGCTTTTTGCAAGGAGTCCCAACCGGGTCCCCCCGGGCCCATCCAAGTCCCACCTTCTGCGTCACCGAATCCCGTTTTTTTGCTCGCCGGGTCTTATCCGGGTGTCACCGGGTCCCATGTTTCCCACA